GGCGGGCTACAAAATTAATAAAAGGAATGGAACATATCGGCTATGAAGAAAGGTTAACAAATTTAAACCTATTTAGTTTAGGAAAACGTCGCCTGAGAGGGGATATGATAACATTATACAAATATATTCGAGGCCAATACAAACCATTGTGTGGAAATCTATTCACAAACCGGACTTTACATAGGACACGAGGACATGAGTTTAGACTGGAAGAAAGAAGATTTCGTCTAAGGCAAAGGAGAGGTTTTTTACTATAAGAACAATCAGGATGTGGAATTCTCTGCCTGAGGAAGTGGTTTTATCAGAGTCCATACAGATGTTCAAACGGCTACTAGATGCATACTTGCAAGAACAGAATATTCAAGGATATAATCTTTCAATGTAGGGTAATAACTGCTTGATCCAAGGATAAATCTGACTGCCATTCTGGGGTCAAGAAGGAATTTTTTTCCTAGCTTGTTGCAAAATTGTACTTCAAACTGGGTTTTTTTGCCTTCTTTTGGATCAACAGCAAAAAACAAATGTGAGGTAGGCTGAACTTGATGGACGCAAGTCTCTTTTCAGCTATGTAACTATGTAACTATGTAACTAGTCACCCCCTCCCTCTGTCACTGTGTCACCCCCTCCCTCCGTCACTAGTCACCCACTCTGTCACCAGTCACTTCCCCCCTCCCTCTGTCACTAGTCACCCCACCCTCCTTCTGTCACTGTGTCACCCCCTCCCTCCCTCTGTCATTGGTCACCCACTCGGTCACCAGTCATCCCCTCCCTCACTCTGTCACCAGTCATCCCCTCACTCTGTCACCAGTCACTCCCCCTTCCTCTGTCACTAGTCACCCCCCCCGCCACTGTGTGTCCCCCTCACTCTGCCACCACTCACCCCCTCCCAGGGCCGGACTGGGAATGAAAAGCAGCCCTGGAAAAAAATTCCATACCAGCTCCGTAATGCATCGTGCCAGCATAGTGCGCAGATATGGAAGCGGGAAAAAAATGAAAACTAGCACTCAAACATGAAATAAAGCACTTATAGGGCTTCAAAATAAAGCAGAGCAGATTTATTGTAAGCAGACGCAGACGTGCATTTGTGTGTGTGTGTGGAGAGAGTGCCGTTTGTGTGTGGAGGGGTTCTGTGTGTGTGTGGAGGGGTTCTGTGTGCGTGGAGGAGTTCTGTGTGTGTGTGGAGGGGTTCTGTGTGTGTGAAGGGTTTCTGTGTGCGTGGAGGGGTTCTGTGTGCGTGAAGGGGTTCTGTGAGCGTGGAGGGGTTCTGTGAGCGTGGAGGGGTTCTGTGTGCGTGGAGAGGTTCTGTGTGCGTGGAGGGGTTCTGTGAGCGTGGAGGGGGTCTGTGAGGGTGGAGGGTTCTTTGTGTGATGGGAGGGTTCTTTGGCTCGTGGAGGGATTCTGTGTGCTTGGAGGGTTCTGTGTGTGTAGAAGGGGTTCTGTGGCGTGGGGGTTCTGTTGGTGGGGGGAAAGGAGGTGCTGTTGGTGGGGGGGAGGGTGCTGTTGGTGGGGGGAGCTGTTGGTGGGGGGGTGCTGTTGGTGGAGGGGAGGGGGTGGTGTGTGTATGGGGGGGGGTATGTAGTGTGTGTATGGGCATTGATATATATTTTAAAAAAGCTTCATTTTACCCCCCCTCCCACCTTACGTTTGGTCAGTGGAGAGGGGGGAACGGCTACTCTTCGATCCCTGGTGGTCCAGTGGTGAAGCGTGCTGTTCAGCCTGCAGCTCCTCTGGCTGCAGGCTGACTTCGCTCTCCTCCCGCGAGAACAGCAGGCAGGTCGGAGCGTTGCCATGGTAACGCACAGCAACGCTCCAACCTGCCTGCTCGCGGGAGGAGCGTTCTCTCTTGCAGGTTCCTGTCAGACCGGGTAGGGGAACAGAAGCTCCCTTACCGCGGTCTGCCTGCTCGGCCACGCTACATTCTGTGACCGGCAGGAGGGGAGCACATTCCCTCCTGCCGGTCACCCTGTAATTGCAGCCCGGGCTGGTGCACACTAGGCGGCCGCGCACCGGCCCACCGGGAAATTTCCCGGTATCCCGGTGGGCCAGTCCGGCCCTGAATGTAGGTCGCAGTAGCCAGCGTTGTGGGTACAGGAGGTTAATTTACATGACTGACCTAGGTTAGTAACCTGTGCTAGTGTATCTGGCTTATGGGGCAAATGCTCATTAGTGCATGCGTGGTAGGCAGGCTAAACTGTGGGTCTAGGTATATACTCTAAGGCTACATTAACATATGAAGAAGTGAGATGCCCAGGGTTACAGTGTAAAACATATCCGAGTAAAGCAAATAAAGGGTACTGGCAGGTTGCACCGTGCGTTAGAGTCAATGGAGGGGGAAATCACTGGCTTTTGTGTGCGTTTTACGGCTCTCAGTGTCCAGTGCAGCCGGCGGCCGCCCGCCTCAGGTATTCAGTCCAGTGCTTGTTTCAGCCGATGCCCCGTTTAGATATGGTCTGATTGCAGGCTGATGGCTTTTCCAGGGTAGCCGACCCCCCTGTCTCCCGGTCAGTGTCGCGGTCTGTTCTATGGGTTCTCCTGTGCGGGAGCGTGTCACGCTGGGCATAGGTCTCTGGAGCCACTGTAGGGCGAGTGGGTCGGGTGCACCGGCGGATTTCGCTTTGATGCGTGGGGGCGTTGGTGCCGGTGTCCAGGCAATCTTGCGCTGTTTCCCGCTGTGGTGGCCTTCGGCTCCGGCTCTGTCTGGGGGCCGTTCTGGCTCTAGGGGGATTTACTCCCAGC